CGTGTTATCTTCAAGTTGTTTCTTTAGCCGATCTAAACCGTATGCTTAGTAGAATTTAACGAACAATATACAATTGAACTGAAATATTTAAGAAGAGAATATTCAGAGCCATTTCATAACCCATTCTGAACTGGGAGTGATTCAATTGAACCCTACCTCTAAGGGTATCCAAGTTCCCGTCATCATCTTTGCGTTCATTCCGTCGTTGAATCTGCTCGTTGCTGACTTGATATATTCCGCTGAATTGATTGCTAGGCTGGTTTGAATGCCCACGACGACGACCTTAATTACTATGAGTATAAAATAGCCAAATGAATGAAAACTTCGCCAACATGGAACCGTCATTAAATGAGTTTTTCATCAAGAAAACGGATCCTAAAGCGATCTGGGAAAGAGAGAATCCTCCGAAGATTTAACCTGGAAAGATTTGCGTTCCGTTTCGACGACCCCTTGAAGGAAGCAACGCCGATGCTGCCGCTTCTGCAGCAGCCATCTGCTGACGATCCGTTTCGTCACGATACGTCTCCAATAAATACGACGGTGGACAACCGTAGCCTTCTTCTGCTGGAATTCCAGCTAAAATACAACGGTATGCCAGGTGGGGGAGATAAATATCCGGTCTCGAAGTACATGAACGGTCAATTGTAAGTCATAATCAACGAGTGAATTATTCACTCACGTAATCAGCACTCCAATAAATTAATTTTTAAAAAACGTACAGCTGTCAGCGAGAGGAAAAGATTCCAAGTCATTGTATGCAGGGCGTTGTAGCTGACGTTCCATAGCGGCCGCTCCCCGTCCCCGTTGGTTTCCGCGCTTCGACGATGACAAACCACTGCCACCCCTTGATTTCCGGTTTTGAGCATTCACATGCCGACGATTCGATTGTGTTGCATTCGAGTGCGACGCATTTTTTGATCTTAAATTCGCTGATGCTTCCAAAATTGATCATAAAAGAGAACCGAATTTCATGTTCTTCGATAAAATTTCCAGACACTCGAAACGACGACAAGTCACGTTAACGATGACTGAGTGATCGAAGAAAAATTCTTATTAGAAATGTCAAGTCTTATTTGAAAAAATAGCAATTCAGTAATTCGTGAGAATATGATTATTGAACTATTAGTGGTTGGGACAAATTTGAGTTTCATCGATGAAAATGTTCACCTATCAGTTGAACGAGGTGACTTTTGACGATGCCGACTGGGCACATCCAGCGCGGTCGCCAGTTGATGGCCTTCATTTCCGCCCACATTCAATTGCTCTGAAAACAGACACTTTACTCATTCCACCATCAACAAAATTTCTTTCAATTCGGTCATATTTAATGTAAACCAATAATTATTGCGAAAAACAGCTTTTGTACAGAATTTAAGAACCATTTCTGAATGAATCAATGTTAATAAAGAATTCACACCGAACAGTCATTCATTAAAATTTTAACAACTCTAATAATACCCATAGGTTTCAATCCAGTATGAAACCTGAACCATCATCCTAATTGTGGTGTTATATTGGACACATAAATTGAAATGTTTTGATAAAGAACTGACCTAACTGACTCTCCAATCCATTTGTGTAAACTTCTTGAGAGGGTTGTTCGGATGGAATGAACTCTTGAGGTTGTCGCTGTTGCTGGGTTGGAATGAACAACTGACCTAACTGACTCTCTAAACCATTTGCATAAACTTCTTCAGGTTGTTGTTCGGATGGAATGAACTCTTGAGGTTGTAGCTGTTGTTGCGGTGGAATGAACAAACCATCATTATTAATGTAGGGTACATTTCTGGAATAATTTCCGAACTGAAGTTCAAAGTTTGCATCACGTTCCGACACAGGCACCACGTTAGCGTTGAACATGTGAGGCGGAAGAAACTGAGGCGGCAAGTCAAACACAGCCCGAGGTGGCGTGTAGAACTCCGTATGTGGACCAACCAACGGAGTAGGATAGTAGTTTGAACGATGATGTTGTTGATTGAAGCCACCTGGAACTAAGCACGAATATATGCAAAATTCGTAAATTCAAATTCCGACAATCCAAAAATTTTACTCATTCCATTCAGTCAAAGATATGAAAATTTAGTCAAACTCGACAAGCTCGATTGTCATTGAAACGAAGACATTATCTGCATTCAAATCATATGAGAAATTTAATATGTATAGTTCAAAACATGCAAATTTCAAAGTTAAATCGAATGCAATCGACCAGCAGCTTGCAAAAATTCTCCCAATACATATATAAGAACTGAAACTACCTCGTTGGTTTCTTTCGGCACGTCTACGGTAACCGTTGTTTGCAGCGGCGCCTCGTTGAGATCCACCTCTACTACTTGGACTACGATTCACAGCCTCGGATGCGTCGGATTCATGAGGTGGAATTATTTGACTAGAGTCAGTCATCTCTAAACGAAACGTTTCTTCTTTTCACGGCTACACGTGCTTGCACAGACAAAAACCGTCCTGAAATTTTAATAAATGAGATGACAACCGGAACAGAGGAACAGAACGGAGAACCAGTAAAGCGTATCAGAGGAAGAGCTTCAAAACAAGCGAATAGTAACAACAAAATGATAGATATGAAATTTCTGAGTCGACTTAAAAGAAACTAGAATTGCACAATATGTTGAAATGCTGCACATTGTGGCGACTCGTTCAGTCGTACTCGAAGAAAGACAATTTAAAGCATTGAAGGTTTATGTGCGATTTCTCACATAAGTTTGAGTGAATTGAATGGTTCTTATAATTTGGAGATTAGGTATAAGTGTCAAAGTATATAATAATCAGGAAGAATTAAAGCATCCAAATAAAACATTCAAAGGGAGGAATACTTTCAAAGGAATATGCAAGATAAACGCACCGCACCACTCAAGAACAAATCAAAATGAAAAAATAAAGTGCGGCTGGTTAATTTCATAATCAGCTGTAACTTTGCAGAAATCAGCTGATCCAATGCTTCCACCCGTTTGCAGACTTTGAGAATAGGCTGGCAGCACTGTTGCATTCCATGAGATGAACTTTAATTAATAACTTCATAGGTTCGCGTGATGAATTGATCAGTTTACTTTTAATGACTCGGAGCTACTTGAATATTATTCATTTTGAATCCTTAGTTGCCATTAACGCAGGACAATTTCATCAATTGTAGAAATCTGACGACACCAACATTATGTTCCTCATTCTTTGGAGAACTTCTTTCTTCACAGCTACCAATAGTAATGCAGGAAATCATAGGTCTTAATCAACCATATCTCTCAAGATATTGATTTCAAGATTCCAGAGGTGTAGAGATCAATAGAAGCTATTCGATGATCTCTATTGAGTTCGGTTCAGAATCAGTTCAAAAAACTGTTTTGTAACGTTGTGCAATTCTTGACCGAAATAGCAAACCATTATTAATTGTTTCCTAGCAGTTACGAGCGCTGTTTCAAATTAAATGTTTCTCATATTCTTTTTCCCACCTTCAATTGTTCTCCGTCACATTCGGAACATTGTATCAATAAGAGTATTCGAATGCTGTCTTTAATGATTGTGTTTTTAAATATGTCACTGCACTGTAACAATCATCCAATAACATTTCTTTATTAAAGCCAATTTAAAGTGATATGAAAGTAAAATTAACAGATAAACGTTTCGAAAGAAACACCACACTAGTGAAAGAATTGACCCATTGTTACATATCAAAACATAAAGTTTGCGTTATAAATAAATAAACAATTTGATGACCATAACATTTGAAAGCAAAATCACAATTGGACACTGACAGGAGTGAACTCGATCGTTCCGCACAAAAATTTCGCTCACACAACAAAACTAAATGAATAGAGAGTATTTTCTCGGAATGTCAATAACCGGCAGATTCCATAAATGATACAAATTTCATCACTTCGAAGCATCAGTCAAATCATCTCTCTTATCGTTGCTGGGTGAATCGCTCAACTCTGTAATATCTTCGTTTCTTGACGAATCTTTCGGCATCTCCACTTCGGATTCGCCATCCTTTTCACTCGGCTGACCATGACCATGATCTTCGTGTTGATCCTGGTCTACAGTCTCGATTCGTTCAGTTGGCTGCTCACCTTTTGGTTCAGGTGATGGTGATTTCGTTACCTGATCTGATTGATTCAGATCTTCATTAGGTGATTCAGTGGGATTCTGTGATAGAATATCTTCATCAGGATGACTAGTGTTTAGTGCTTTCTCATCGACATCATCAGTTCGCTGATCAGTCGTCTTGTTGTCCTCATCTAATGCCACAATATTCTCCTCACTAATATCTTGATTGCTGTTTTGCTCATTCCCATCAACCTTATCAAACTCCGCATCACTGCTTTCAGCAACTTCCAAATGTTCCTCCTCACTCGTCTTTGCACTCAACTTTTCCGGAATATCCGTCACAGCGAACCTTAATTACCAAACTGATCACTAATTGAACAGAGAGACTTAAAAAAACAACTGAACGAGGGAAGCAAGTAAGCATTAAATTACGCCTCAGCTCGGATTTAAATATGAGGCTGATCCTGGAAACCGAAATGTTACTGGAGAAAAAAAACATCCAGAATAAGTATGACGAACAAATACCGTTGACGTCTTGCCACCTCATCATAGGGTGGCGCTCCGTAAGTGCAAATCAACGGCCATATGCATGCATCCCAATTTTTATCCCACGATATTAACGGATCTGATTCTAAATTACTCGCCAGTGTACGCAGCTGCTGAAGAAATAATACTTCAAAGCAGATCACTGATATGATATCAAACAACAACGACTGTGTTTCGAAACGATATAATGAAACTGAGTCAATTGACAACAAATTCGTTGAGATCAAATCAAATTTCTTGTTTAAGTGACTATAATCAAAGAAACTTCAGGCAATAAAAACGGTAATCAGTGGAAACTTCGGTTTCGAATATTATGAAAGATTCGCCAAACGAACCGTTGAGTAGTTAGGAAATCCGCACGAAAGTGATTTGATANNACTTTCATCGGTAAATCCAATCCTTCAAATTTCAACTTCCTCAGCGAAATAATATGAGAACAACTATATTTCACATGAGAAATTCACACTGATGACCGCAGTCGTAATACAAATACAATGTCAAATGAATCTACAATCTCTTCAATCACTCTCAAACAATGAATTATTATTAATCAAACGAATCCAAATTTGAAGGCTTATTACCAGATGTGGACGTATGTAACGAAACACCAATATCCGCAGCACCCAGTAAACGCGGATAATCTTCAGATTCCAACCATGGCGTTAGAATTTCAACTTGCTGCATTTGTAGGTGCTCAATTTTTGCCATATAATGTGAACGCAATGGACCTCGTCCAGTTATAACGCACAGCAAATGCGGAAGGCGTGTTTGAGGATTCCTAAAGGCAACGATCCAGTTGAACATTCAACAGAACACTACCGTCAAAGAGAACATTCGATACGTTGAAACTTGATGAATTCTAATGACACTAGACATTAAACATATTCCTGTTAAGCTTCAGTAGAAGCGATACAAAATAATGATAAGATACGTTATAAAACAATCGAAAACAAACAAAACAACGAACGATT